AGTTAAGATGAAGACACCAACTGCGGAGGATGATAAAAAGGATGACAATAAAGGAAAACAATATGTCATTGAGGAAAAGGTACCGACGAGAACAATCATTTGGAATGTACATACAAGGGATGATTGGAAACAGATGCTTGATCCAGGATTCGACTATGGCCTACTAAAAAAAAAGAAAATAAAATACAAGTTTGCAGTGAGTTACAGTGAAAGTCCTTCGATCATGCCATCATAAGAAACAACTTTGGACCCCGTCATTGGAAAAGAAAAGGAGAAGCCTAAAGGTGAATCACCTATGAAGACTATTGTTACAGAAACAAAAGTTGAAGCCACACAAGTTGAATTACCTGCCAAGACTGAGGTGGAATCCCATTTGAAGAATATAGTTGTAGAAACAAAAGTACTTATATCTTGGAGCGCAACCATGGTTTGGACCAAGATTGTTCACCCGTCGGATCAGCCTTCAATAGAAGCTAGTGGTGGAGGAGGACAAGTGTGGAGTTGTCACACAATGCTTTGCTGGTGATCTTCAGTTTTAGCTCATCAAAGCGGACTTGATCATGACTGTTTGTATCGTGAAGTCGTTGAAACCCTTCGGTTAACTGTTGACTTGATCATGACTGTTTGCATCCTGAAGTCGTTGGTCATTGCAGCATGTTGTATGTCATTTTATATGAGTTCAAGGGAAGAACTTCAAAATTCAAAGAAAAGTCCAGCCTGTGCTATTAGTGGTAAAACGGGAATAATGACTTCCACATAAAACAAGATTTAGTTTCACAAAATTCTTCAAAAAGCTGACTTCCGTATCTTTGCCATGATGTATGGCATGAAGCCCAATTTGCTCGGAATAGGTACAGATTAATCTGGGAAGTTGCTTGCGCTGTTGAGACACATTGCTTGTGCTAGCTTTCTGTTCAGCTTTTTGTGTGCTAGATTTGAGATCATTCTTTCTTCTGGAAAAATCTAAGAAAAATAAGAACATTGTAGCTCCGCTTCCTATACTTCCAGGAATATATGGCATGTGACTTGGAAAAATTGGTAAGGCCTTGAAATCTTCGTTTTCCTATAGCTGCTCAGTTCTGACGGGAATGAAGCTTCGACTATCTTCGTACGCAAAAATGAAAATATTGGATTTGCAAAAATTTTGGTACAGTGATCTTAGGCATCTTAGCTTTCATATCCAACTCAACTTGTATCAAAATTCACCTACGAAGTCAATTTTTCGTTGAAATCATTTGAGTGTGCAAATTGGGCTTTAGGCATGATTACATTGCGTCTAGAGTTTTGCGTGATGACTTGCCCTAGTATGAGTGCTGATGGACTCGAACTGAGTTACATGTAGACTTTAGATGAGAAGTCTATGAGTCGAACTTATGAAGAGGTGTTGGTCTGCACGAAACCAAACCTGCCTTTACTTCCTGATGCACATGGAACAAAACTTGCCTTTGCTTTCGTGTTGGTCCGCTTGAAATATGCCATCTTGACCTTCAAAATATCCAAAACGTAAAAAAACGTCAATCTAGGAAAGTTGCGGGCTGTGCCTTCTTTTGAAAATCAAACCACGGGTGTAGTTCTAAGAAAGAATGGTATGAACCATCATTGACGAATAGCCTATGATGGGGCGTTAGGGAGATGAGTTCTCCATGGATGTGTCTACGCGTTGATGGTGGTGTAAGGGCCTTTGTTAGGCACAAAGACAATATGTGTCCTGTAGAGAATAATAGACTTAGAGATAAGTAAAAAAAAATGAAAGAGATACATTGATTGGCCCTAGAGATAGAGATGGATGTCGATGTCCTCCTAATAAATACTCAGGCTAGTATATTTATAGGGATCTTGAGAATTCTTGTAGGAAAAGTGATCTTTATCAAATTGGGATACTATCTAGGAGGAAATCTAGGATAAGATACCCAATCTTCCTAGAATCATGATTACATTGTCTAATCTCAAAGATATCCTAATTTGACTTTAATTAGGGTTTTCCTACTTGGAAGACAAGTAATATCTTTAGTAGGCCTAAGCCTATCCCACGAGACTACATTCCATGGGCTTCGGGCATTCCAATCATTCTTTCCCCATGCACAGGCCTAGAAAATCATGTTCCCACAATATCAAACTAGCCCTAAAATTGGTAGCCAAACCTTCACTCTTCGAGTATCCAATAGTGAATGGTGTTTGAATATTAGAATAATGACTGTAGTTCACTAGAGATGGAAGGTTGGGCAATGAGGGAGGGGAAGGGTGTTTGGATATGTATTAGAGTAGTGAATCTTTGGCAACTAGTTTAAGTTAAGTTGTTTGTGAGTTAAAAGGACACATGTCGTTTTATAATTGTTCCACATAACAAAGTTAGTATATTGGGTACTCCCTAGTGAGTACCAAGTATTGTCCCTTCAAAATTTGTCATTTCAATCCACTCTTCAACAAACTCTTCAAATTTCATCTTTTACGTTAAAATATTACTTTATCTTATATTGTGAGGCCCGAATTTTATTTTCACACACTTTACCAAACAATAATTTTGAATAAAGTATATTGCGAGACACAATTTGCTACCATGAAGAAGATTACAAAGTCAGTTGCTAATTCTTTAATTTGTTAATTGGGTTGCTACTACCTCCATTAGAGATATGTTTTTTAACATGGCATAGCAAATTTAACTTTGCTACCGAATTGTTACCTCTCTTACATATGTTCTAAGCTCTTACTTATCTAGAATTTTCACAAATATGTACTTATCAACTGTTGAAAAATGTCAGTAAGTTTTATTTTTAAATAGAAAAACCTTCTATGGGTATTTGAATATCAAAATTTGAATTCTACTAAATGGTTACTAAACATGTTTATCAATGGGATAAATTCTCTCTTACAACTAACGCATAGTTTTAATGGTGATATATTATCTAATAAATAATTGTTACATGTTCAAAACTTATTCAATATGTAGTGTCGCTGATTGCATGAGAGTATCTGTCTACCAATATGAACAAAGAAATAAACGACATTGGATAAAGAAGTAAATGACATTGGATGAAGAAGTAAAAAAGGAAAAAGCAGATCCAAAGCTTAAGTTGCATCATCATCGTCATCATGGATCATCGTATTTACTACAACATTCTCTTGACACTGCATATCTTTTTCTATAACATTCTCTTTAAACTACTATTTTTTCTTTGTTCTTTTAGTTCGGGCTTTTATTTTGTTTAGTAGAAAATTCAGATTAAAAAGTACGTGATGACTGATAACTTCTATGGTAGAGCACTTATAATTTTGAATCAAGAGTTCAATTTCGCATTCCTCTTGACCTCATTTGGACCTGAAACAAAGAGGGTTGTGATTTTGACACCACATTTAGCCATATGCCCTCCAAATTAAAAAGAAAAAACAATATCCTTATTTTTTCACAGAGAGAGAGAGAGAGAGAGGGCTAGAGAAGTCAAGCTTCCGTGTCCCAATTGATGGAAAACTAGAGGGAACAAAGAAAAGACATTACTCTCTGTAAGTTTGCATAATGACCATGTTCCTTTCTATTTGGTACAAATAAGGACAAGGATTTATATGGCAATGATACTCCGTCACAATAGCGTCCCATGCTCATAATACAATGTTATGTATTAAATTTTCTTCACGTATTCTTGTATCATTGACACAAGACGCGACCATGACGATTGACCTGTAGCATACAAGTTGCTCTTCCAAAATACAGAATGTGTTCTTTGTCAACTGTCTCAGGGTTGGTAGGGACATTATCAGTTTAATTGTTGCTTGCTTGTTTATTGCCCTTAGTTTTGAAGCATTAAGAGTTTGGGCCAAACCAAAAAATTAAATTTAGACTAACCTGGATATGGTAATCAAAAAGCAGATTAGATAAAGGTACTAAATTAAGGCCTAATCTGTAATTCTTTCAGGTTCTTCTTGATGAAAAGCTGCCTACAAGTTGTTGATCCATCAAATCAAGTACTCATTATATTGCAAGTGACCATTTACCACAGTGGTAAAAAGGAGTTGAGCCCTTGCATGACGGTATGGGTCGAACCCTATCAGTGGCTAATCTAATATCTAATCTAACAAAATCTATCATTTGATAAAAAATAAAGAAGTACTCATTATATCCACCTTTTAACTTTCCAAACTATTTATGTTTTGCAGATGTTTGGATCTCTAATGGAAGGAAAAGAAATTGTTAAGACTTTCCTGCCAAGTAGTAAGTTGAGTATGAGAACCGTTGTTCAGTTAAAACATATCATGTACGACAATCTTTTAGTTATAACTAGAATTTTGTATGCAACACAAATTTTTAAATGAACGTTACTTATCTCTCAACCTGTCACGTAACATGGAAGCAAAAAAAATAATTGTTCAAGAGCATCAAATTTAGGCCACCTTCAATTCCTAGAATTGATTGGATAACATGCTAAATTCAAAGTATGTTGAAGTAAGAAATGAAGGCCTACTCTAAATTTGTCCAAATTGAAGGGAGACTATGTATTAGTTATAAGATGTTGATACGGTGATTAATCCATCTAGCTTCTTTAACTAGACATAATGTAGAAGTTGACTTTCATTTCTTATTTCCAACATATTTTGAATCTAGTGAGCTATTAAATCCAATCCTAAACATCAACGTTGCTGTTATGGTGCGTTTAAACGAGGGACTTTAAAATCCATGGAACTTAGCCCAACTTTATTCGGAATGCACCACAGAAATTAGATAGAGGACTCGAAAATAACTAACTGTGACACATTTGAGTGCAATGTGTCATTTGAAAGTACTTGTTTAGTGTTTTGTAGTGCATTTATAGTGTTTTAGTAATAACATTGTAGGGTTTGAATAGTTCACTGGTATTGTTCTCCTAATGCATTTTTAACAATCGAGTTAAAGTTTCTTGAGATCTTGAAAGTTCCTCGTCCAAACATAGGGTTTAGAGAATATCCCCTTTGCTAGTTTGTTTCTAAATAACCATAACAAAGCCTAAATAAGCTAGAGCAAACAGCATGAATTCATGAAAGAAAAATATGTAACTCTTTAAATTCTTTACAATGTGTCATACATCGTTCTACTATAAAACACCGGCACCCAAACCCCCGGGTTGCCACCCCAAAAGAGGACATGTCACATACGCAAAAGCATGAAAAATTTGACAATACAACAGAGACTCCTACATACGCATGTGGTATGAAGAATATGTTCACCCACCAATGCATGTGATGCGTGCATGGGAATAGGAGAGGAGAGAATCCTCCTCTGTGAGAGCCCATGAAAATAAGATTGTGGTCCCAAGGACTCCCCGACCGACACATGCTAGCCAGAATTCTGTCCTATCTTAAGGATTCAATTTCATCCAAATGCAGAGATCCCTTGCATTTCAAGTTCTCTACAATTGAGTCACCAAAAAATGGTAAAGAAGTACTACAATTCTGCCAACTGCTTGCCATATTAGCAAAAATTGTTATGGACAAAGAAGTTAGGATGTGATAACGTCAATCATATCAAGTTATCAGGGTTTCACTTTTATCCCAGTAAAAAACTAAGCAAAGGTGGTAATGCAGGAAATCTAACAACAGAAAACCCAAATCACTCGACATGTTTCACTCGATATTATCTTTACATCATGCAATTAGCAGTTACAAGATACTTTACCTTGTTGTGTTTTCCCTTAGGCCTTTGCACGGTAAATGAATAAATTGTTGAAGCAAAAACCGGAGAGCCCCAAGAATAAATACCCATGTCCACCTTGAACAACCCTTATCAAGAATGTCTGAGTTGTCACTTCACATTGATATGGCTCCGCCCATGTAGCAATATTCTAGACAAGGCATGATCTGCAACATTGGAAGCTGAAAAAGAATGGTTGCATGTGAAGCTGAGGCTTGCCGGAGTTGGTGAAAAGAAGCCACCCTGGGATGTCCCTCCAGGTCACTTGGCTGTAGTAGTAGGGCAAGCTAGATGAAGGTTTGTTGAAAGAGTGGATTTCCTGAATCACCCGGTTCTACAGCAGCTGCAAGACCAAGAATACGAAGAGTACGGTCATGGTAGCTCTGGCCCTTCAGCTATGCCATGTGACGAGTTTCTGTTTGAAAATAAACTTCACTCTCTTGGAGTTGGAACGAGCAGCAATCAATTCTCTTGCCCCCTTCATGGCTTTCTGAGAAGTTCATCACGCTGGATAGAGATTATTGTAGCAGTGGTGGAAGCAGCAGCAACTGTTATCTGCGATTGCTATTATTTCTATTTTCCTAGAATACCATTATGCCAAGCTAGCAGTAGACAGAAAGGTGCTGAATCAAAGAAGTGCATTAAGCATTTTAAAAGACTGTTGCTGAAAATATATACATTATACTGGTGTTTTCATTTATTTACAGGTGAAGATGCAATCTCTTGTGTATAGGCTATAAGCAGTATGAGGTTTAACATTTATCCTTGCAAAAGTATCTGTATCTTGTACAGAAATTAGACATCAAGGCACATCATAGGATTTAATAAAAGAAAACATATTGTTGCCAAAGCGCTTTTTCACCTTTTGTCGAAGGATAAAAGTTATTTTAAATACTATACCTGATAATAGTGCTTACAAACAACACGACGCTCAAAATCAGCTGTCGTTTGGAAGAATACATTTTACAAACAACACGACGCTCAAACCCAGGTTAACTAAATTACTAATCTAGAACATGCTAATTGACTATAAGCATAAAATACTCTGATGCTAAGGGGAGTGGTAACTTTACCCTACATTTCTGTTGTTGTATGATGATCTTTTACTTTTTAGCTCAAAGCTCGTTGGAGAATCTGAATATGTAATAGATTCCAAACGTTTTGAACCAAACCACTTGATAGGGTATGATACACTTGTTTTGCTGCAGCACAATGTGCTTGTAGAAATTTGACATCACTAAACAGCTTTCTAAGAGCTTCTTCAAGTTTTAATTTTCCCCCAACCTGCAAGACCATTAACATAAAAAGCTGCAGAAATTACACAGATTTTTATTTTTTATTTTCTTATAAGCAGACAGAACAAATATTAATGACATCACAGGTTCAGGTAGTTATTCCTAAGTAGAAATTATCCACAATCCAGACAGCCAGTACTACCGTGCAAAGGCCGTCTTCCCACCCAAAAGCAGGCTCGGTGCAGATGTTATGACTTATTTACAGAGACTAAAAGTAGCAACTAAAGCAACAAATGAAGCTAACACGTGTACGTACATATGATTAAACTGAACCAAGCCCATTCTACCCATGCAGTACTAGATCACCTATTCGACATGTCTGCGTAAAAGCTTCGCCCAAACAGCTGAACAGAGAGTACAGGTTACACGTAACATTTAATGAATTTCCTATCTACATCCGATATTTCAATTCAAGTCCACGGAATAAAAAGGTAGATTTCTGATGTAAAAGAAAATTAAAACCAGAAAAGGATACATAAAGAGTAATGCTATTCATGAATCACACAACCCTTTTTACTTCTCACATCTTGCTAATTTTGGTACATTGATCTTCTTCAGTTCATTCGATCTGACGGCTGGAAATTGAGGAGGGGTGTGTGAGAGGTAAGAATAGGTGTGTGGATAGCACCACCCTAAATAAATCACTATATATTGAGTCAAATTTCTGAAATACCAACATAATTTTGGAGGTATGAAGAGTCTCAACAAGTGATACTTTGAAGGATAGAGGATAGAGGTTCTTCACACCTGCAGAACTGACAGAGGATTTAACCGTTGCATTTCCAGTACCATGATTGAAAAATGCCCGATGTAAGGACCTGAGAAATGAAAATAAAAAAGCAGCTATCAATGGTATGTTAAGAACCAATAACCTCTGATCTGGTAGCTGCTACTCACCAGTTGCACAGCCTGCTGCAGCAGCTTCTGATATGTTATGGCCAGAAAGGCTAGGAAAGAAGGAACCTCCGATTACAGCTACAGGGGATAACTTATAAAGGTGTTTCCATTCACCTATAAATCAAGCAAAGAGAAAAAACATATAATGAAGTTAGGGAGAATGCTTTTGCGGAGCCACTGTACAAGGGGTAAACTATGAGAGTATGATTTCTGCGCAAGATTTGTCTAAGAATCATGTAGGGAAAAGATTTCAAAATATGCTAACCTAATGTGTCCACCACATATATACTTGTGTCTCCTAAGAGTTTATCACGTTAAGACCTCAACGCTACACCATGCCCTTCTTTCCACAATTTCTGCACTATTTAAGGCAATGTCATGAAATGAAACTAATAAATGTAACGTTCAATCATTCTCTTTTTTCAGGCCTTTAGAAAAATCAATCATATAGATACCATTTTTTTCTGTTAAACATCAATAAAATTGAATGCATGGCATACTTGAGCAATCTCTTTTCCATGATGTGGATGTCGAGGCACAATAATGGTTAACAAGTCAGGGTACTCTTGTCGCGGCACTTTGTGAATGCCCAGTATTACTGCATATAGTATTTGTAAGCTTTTTAACAGACAGAAATAATCTAGCAAAAGAATATTCTGATAAATGAATGCAAAAACATTTTGACAATTCTTTAGATGAATGTCGCTACTTTAAGAAAAAATAATGGGTTAAGAAATGGAAGGTGAAATGAACAAAGCAAAACAAAAAGAAAAAAAAAAAACACACTAGTTTCTAGTTGAAAATGACATTGCAACACCAGTCTAGCACTAGCATTCACGTAATAAAATCATCGAGCACTTGTATGAAACTTTCAGAAACCAACGACTGCCAGTAATGAGGCAGCATGACATTGTATGATTCAGGTCAGGTCTCTAATAAAACTCTACATGTACATGACACAATATATGCAGTCCAGAACTTAAGGATAAGTAAGCAGCAAGAAGTAACCTTCTTCTTCGCCCATATGTATGGAAGAAGCCATCCAAACCTTCCTGTGGGCAGTGTACTTTTAAATCTTCCATACTTTTGATCTCTCCCTCAGAAATGTCAAATTCTCCAACCACTGAACATTACAAGAAAAAATTGTGTTGATGGAGTGTTTCCATACTGTTGGGATTGTGTTGGTGTGAAAATTTAAGTAAAAATTGTGCATTTTAGCACAATCATTTGTAATTGTATCTTCTCCGGAAGCATGGTGAAGAGGCTCGGAGGGTAGGGGCAATATTGAGCACCAACACAAACGATTGGTTTCTGGTAAACTATCCAAGATAATCTATGCTAATTATGTAAATATGTAAATACGTGCAATTCTGATGTTGAGTGTGATTTTGGGTAGTAAAAGTGTTGTACATGTCTTTTACTTTATACTATGACTGTTTACAAACATAATGTCAGCATGACCACATTGCGAGGACAGCTCAAAGAGTAACCAGAGGCTGAAAACCCGAATCGTGCACTCCATTCTTACTTGTCATTTTGAAAACGGTGAAGGGGGAGGAGGAGCCATTTTCTACATCTTTGTTGATCGAATCATGCCCCTCAACATTGATAACCATGGTTGCTATCGAGATGAACTTGAAAGCTTCGAGATTCACTGTGCACGACTTCTTGAGATCAACAACACACTCCGAGAAAGCGACTATGAAATTGGCTCCAATCTCTTATGTGTTGCATGATGTCCTTCGAAGCATGTCGAGGGAGGTGAATGAGGGACCTTGGCCCCATCGTTGTAAGTCGAAGAGGTCCACAACAAAACAACGAGTCAGTTAAAAATTTATTGAATTGTTAGTTAAGTTAAATGATTGAATTGTGTGTAAATTATTTCTGAAACTTGTTGGTGGCACGGGGGGACTGCGGGATTTTCACTTTAAAAGTGATAGAGTTCTTGTCTACTGGTCTTCCTCTAGATGTTATTAAACCGCAAAACGTCCCGGCATTTCGATTAAGGAAGGTAGTTGACATGTTGCATGAGGTGCACAATGTCTAGGCGGTGCTAGATAACTCATTGGTCGTTGATGTAATCTTGTAGCCGATAAAACAAGTATTATATTGTGAATATGTGGTGGTGTATATATTTTTATTTTGTTAAGACAAGTTCCATTAATTGGGATGAATATTAATTGAGGTCCAAGTCTTTCATTGTGGATGATGTTACATTATTTATCCATTTATTTACTTGTTGCAGATGAATTTAATGAGTTTGGGGGTGCTTTGATTGTCTCATTCCAGATTATTTGCTGTTATGGGTCAGTTAAGTGGAATGAATTTGAAAGTCACTTTTTCAAACCATCCCTTATGTGTTGTGAAAGTGTATGACAGTTTATCAAACCTTCATTATGCGATATGAATATTTGTGAACCATAATGTGTACCTAGAGCAAGTTGGTGTACTATGAAAGGGTCTTCCTCAAACAAGTTAGACCAAACAGATTTAGACAAAGTAAATTCGAAATAAACTTCAATTATTTGTCCAATTTTGTACTTGGTGTGGAAGAATGTAATAGGTATGGGGATGCTTTCATTATATCCTTCCAGATGATTTGTTGATATGGATAAGTCAAGTTGAATGAATTTGAAAGACAATTTTTAAAACCACTATTTATGTGTTATGAAACTTGGTGACAGTCGATGAAACTATCCTTATTTGTTATGAATTTTTGTGATGGAGTACTAGGAAATGGTCATGCACAAATAATACGAGACAATGAAACTGAAACTGTCTAAATAATTTGTAAAATACACAGCGATGGAAACATCCCACATAACACACTAAAACTAACCTTTTTAAACATAAACATTACAAACCTAAAACCAACCTGCTTAAACATAAACATAAATTAAAACATGCTAACATGAAATATAATCGTTTGACATAACACAATAATACAAAAAAAAAAAAAAAAAAAAAAAACGTTCAACATAACACACTAAAACTAAAACATTAATTAAAATATGGTAAAATTAAATCTAAACTGCTTAAACCCACTTAACCACTTGATCACTTCATCCAGCATCGTCAATTATTTGTACCCATGCCATCACCACCACATGCACCTGGACCTGTAGCCTCACCTTCACCCTCACTTTCATCTTCACTGTCACCTTCATCCTCTTTCTTTTTTTTCTTTTTTTTTTTTTTTTTTTTTTTCCTTTCTTTCTTGGAGGCAGCATGTTTAGCTAGTCTCCAAACACCTTGTTAACCATAAATCAACTGGGATCCAACACATTAACTTCATAGTCGCATTTGAGTACTGTTCTCCTCCACAGTAGGAGCAAACCTCAAACAGACCCTCATAACTGTGGAAAGTTGGCAAGTCTTTGTCCCCGTTCAGCACCACGACTCGCTTGAAAGGGAGATGAACAACCACTTTCATTAACACCCTTATGGCCATTCAATTCAGGGAATTAATACTAGGGTCATTAAGCCTAATAAGGTCCGCAATGAGTTTAGTGATAGTTTTTAAGATGTTCAGCTCCCTATATTGCATTGGTATTCAAGGGATTTTAACTCGTACCCTCAAGTAAGATATAGAACCTAATTGCCTAAAGTCTTATGTCCACCTTTTTAAGTGGAAGATCTGACCCCTCATAAACCACGGACGTCCCTCCACCATGTTTTCCGGTTCATCCTAGTCGATGAACTCTAACGTAAACCAACCACTGCCAAAATTGTCGACAAAGAAGAGGTTTTTAACAGCTTCACGAAACAACAGAGTTAGTTCAGAGTGTATGACCTCGGCACTCTCGGGATTCCCGAACACCTATTTAAGTTCATGGGGATGTGATGAGTACATGTTTTTTTGGAACATAAATGTTTGTACAATGTCTTCATAATTAGATGTAGGAATGGGATGAGTACATGTTTTTTGGAACACAAATGTTTGTAGAATGTCTTCCAAATTGGATGTGGGAGTGGGATGAGTACACGTTTTTTGGAATACAAATGTTTATAGTATGTCTTCAATAATGGATGTGGGAGTGGGATGAGTACATGTTTTTTTGGAATACAAATGTTTGTACACTTTCTTCAACATTAGATTTGGGAGTGGTCACATATTTCTGTGTAGTACTAATTTTTTGTCGCATTTCTGTGTTTGAAAAGTTATTTTCTGCTACTTGAAGGACCAAAGTGACAAGATTGCGTGAGGGCAGACAATGGTCTTCATAAGTGCTCATAAACACACAAGTATACAAAACTGTCAATTTTTTTGCCCTATTAAATGTGATAGTATACGAACTAAACATTTTGTTGCCATTACAACACATTCTTAATGTTGTTACAGTAAAATGTTTGGGATTTGGAAGGATTTTTTATGAACAAGAAGTTGGAAACTTAGTTCTTGATAGCTGAACACCACTATTCACAAGCCATCATATACCTACAATAGGCAGTCATGAATCAATCAATTTCATCCAATATTTTTTGGTCTCACATTCAATGACATCTAAATTGATCATCTATAAATGGAAAGCAACAACAAGTCATTAGACAACACTTGGTTTGTCCACGATACATTCTTAATGTAGTTACACAAAACAAAAAGGTAAGCAATTGGAAGGAGTATTGCTGACAAACTAGTTGTAAACAGACAATCTGTTTCCATCCCTTTATGGCTTGCTATGCCATTTATATATATATTACAAAAATTGTTGGATGGGCCGACCAACCCTCCCATCGAAGTGGCTCTGCCACTGATCAATTTCCCTAACCTATATTATTACATTAAATGTTGGAAATGAAGTAGTAGGAGTTGATAGCTATATGTTGGGAATGAAGTAGGGGGTGTGAGATTTGAAAAAACACTAACCTATATGTTGGAAATCAAGCAGCAGGAGGGACAAAAGGGGAGTGCTGGGATTCCTACAACTTTTGTAGGTCACGTGCAACAACTCCTCACCACACTAACTCTTTCAACACTATCCCTTTTTTACCCGATCAATTTTCTTCCACATCAATGATACACTTGTATAAATAGGCTTCTCACACTTATTTTCCATAACCATTATCTCTATACCAAAAAAGCCATTACAATTCTCAGATAGCTAAAACAATTCACAACACCAATATGTCTAAGTTCAGACATGAAACTGAGGGTTTTAACACCGAGTTCCATGAGTGGTACAACATGGAACTATTATATGATAATAAATGTAATGTAGTTGTGCAATGTAATGTAGTGTATCATTGTAATGTAGTTGTGCGATGTATTCCACGGGTGGTACAACATGGAACTATTATATGGTAGACTTAATTTGAAGGCTTAGATGCTAATCAATGTAATGTAGTTGTGCAATGTATTTGTTAACTATTATATGATAATAAACATTAGAACTATGTATCCTTGTTATCTTCAGAACCTATTATGTCCTAAACTACGTTAATGCGAAGAGTATCAAATATGTAAATACGCATCGTATACACGATATGCACACGGAATACTCATCATATGTTCAT